TATATATATATATATATATATATATATATATATATATATATATTTTCTACCAATAATGAAGCTTTAAAACTGCGATTATAGCTCATTTGTCTTCTGCTGAAGATGGTGGGATTTAAAAGCTTAGAAAAGGAGATTTTGGAATGAGAAATGCTAAAGCTAAGTCAGAATTTTCTTTTTCTACTTTCATAGATCAATAAAATCTTAATTGGAAATAAGCTGTCTCTAAAATCAAAATAAAACAGAAGATTTGTAACCAAACTAATTAATTTGACCACTTTAAATTCCTAATTGAGTGAATTAATTTTTACACAATTACACATGTTTTAAAGAGGAGTTTGAGTTTTATTTATTTATTTTAGTACATTTTAGTTACATTTAGTGTTTTTTCTTAGATGTATTCATTAGAATATACTCAAATACATTGTTTTGAAGTTTGATAATTACATTTGGACCATTTCTCCCATAACCCCCCAGATGTAATGTCGCATTATAAAAACCAAATAGACAAAAATGTATTGCATTTTTTAGATAAAATGTTTAGAGATAGTTTATCAGTTTTTACTTATTTATAATAATGTTTTTGTTCAGTTTAAGATATCTATCTTTAACAAGAAAATTCTTATATGCTTTTTCAAAATAAAGTATAATTCATTAAATGAAAAAAATGAGGTGTGAAACTGGTTTGATGTTCTGATTAAACTAAATTAGTTTTTTGTGTTATAATGAGTTTATTCCCAGGTTTATCTCACCTTTTTCAATCATCTCCTCTGCTGCTGCTGATCTGTGCGCATCGAGCTTCTCCTGCAGCCTAGAGACGCACCTCTTAGATTGGGAATCGTAAAACCCGTCGATGTTTGACGCAGAACACACAAGCTGATGTTGATGCATCGGTACAACCTGATCATTCATCTGAAGATCATGCTCATACTCATTCTGCTGGTAGTCGAGCTTTAAAATGTCCTTCACGGAAAATGGAGTCGAGGTGGTTGAGCTTGGATGCATCCTCTGTGCGCTTCTGAATCTTTTTACGCACGGTGCTGCTGAAGGCGCTCCTGAGATGCTGCCGGGCGGATCTCTTCACTGACTGCTGAGTGAGGGCCTGGAAGATATTGGTTTGGTCAAGGGTCCTGCTAATGAACAAGTGAGATAGATATCAGTCTGCTCAGACGTAGGGGACCAACACCCGGGGAGACTGCACGCACACTTCTGTGGCTCCCCCATCTTCTCATCTTACAGGAACACCTCTCTACATATCCGCCTTTCTGTCAGTATGCTGGTGTAATTAAGAAGCCCAATTAATGTATAGGAGGGACTGAAAAGGTGTGTGGCTCATAAAAAGTTGTTCTATTGAATAAAAAGTTTCTTTTTAGTTATTAAGTCATTCAGAAATAGACTGAAACAAATAAACATTAAGATAAATGCATACAAAAGATGGCATGATTAAAAAATGTTTAAATGAGAATAAAATAGAATAGAATAATACATTTTTTTCCCTCTATAATTTGGTCAGTTAACCAGCGCTGCAGGGTTGACTGATCTCTGATGATGTCGCACAGCTTTACCACCGACATTGTTTTGCAGCCATGTTATTAGCGTTCGCAGGCCACAACAAACAGTAACTTTACACCTGATGTTGTGGAAGTGGGGAGACAGCGGCGCCAACCAGCAATGCTCGACTGAGGCCGACACGCGCGCGCGCGCGCGTCCACAGAGACAGTAAACACGCACAGCCACTGGGTGAGATCTATAGGGACCTGCACCGCGCGGCTGTTTTCTTCAAAGAACCTTATAGTATAGACATGGAAATCAACAATCTAACAGTTCCTAAAACATCTGTCAACATTTCCCAATATCTGTCACTGAGGCGGTTAAGAATGAAGATCTGTTTAAAACTAAAAACTGCCCAAAAGCTTTTCATTTTAAACTCATCTTAAAACTATAGCTAATGACAGATTAATTAAGAAAACAGGACTTATGAGGACTTCTAAGAACAAATATATCTTATAAGATGTCCATACTTGAACTAAGAGCTTCTATTGATTTAAATTAGGGATGTCCAAATTTCAGTCCTGGGACCATTAAGGCTTTTCGAATAATTTTCTTATTATCTTATTACTTTTCAGCAAATATAGCTGATGCAAATGAACAATTTAGAGTGACATTTGGATGTTAAAAGTTAATTGTTAAGTAAGGAGCATAAGTGTTTTTCTTTTAGTTCATGTGTTTTTAGCTTTAATCTTCATATCATAGTATTGGAACTACAAACATCCAGTGACTTTTTACCCAAAAATAAAGCGAGTTTAACTTCATTAAACTTGGCCAAATAATTTCTATGAAAATTGTTCTAAACTTAATAAAAAAAGATTTCCCTATACCAGCAACAACAAAAACAAAAACAAAAAAGCTTCTGGCCAATGAAGTTAGGAAACTATAAATCATACTTTTATTGAGGCAAGTATCTTTGACCTTTTTCCATCTTTACAACACTTGTATTTTTTTTTTTACTTTTTTTTTTTATTAAACCAAGCTTTATTTATTGCTTTTTAATTCTACTCAACTGATTATGGTTTTGATTCGGGATCCAGCAGTGATCTAAGCACATCTTTTATCCTATAGACCTTTAAAATAATGAGAGATGGAACACTATCCAGGACTCATATTAATATCTGTAATACCCAATGCCTCGTTATCATGGCTTACTATTTCACAAATTAAATGGAATTTATGTGTTCATTATTGGTTGCCTCTCACTAAATCTGTTAAGCATGCAGAGCTTTCTTACTCCTTAAAGTAATTTTATTAGTACCTGATTTTTTATTTATTTTTTTGTTATATCTTGATGGATGTTAGTATATCTGAAAAATAATTTACATTAGTTTGGTTGTTTTTTCTTGCTGATATATTAACACTAATACATAAAACACACAAGAGTCCAACACAAATGTTAATCTCACAATTAGCGGGTCAGTCAGGAGCAACATTCATGAAAACCAGTATTTAGTGAATGACTGACATTAAAGAGCCTTTATCCAATCACACACACAGCATGCAGACTGAAAGGAATATCAATAGAGAGAACTGAAATCAAACCAACAACCTTCCAACTACTTCTTTGTGTCTTAATATTTTTGTGCATGTCTTTTGATAATGTATTATAATACTAAGGTATTGCTTGTTTAGAAATTTTAAGATCCTTTATATTTTTTAGATGATGCTTTCTTATCCTTCAAGCTTAACATCTTAATTTGTTTTAGGTGTAATCCAGTTTTTTTTCTCCATTTGATTATATGGTCCACATGTCCTGGTGGTTCTCTTTATTCCATGCTGGTGTCTCCGGTCTTTCTGCCTTGAGGTTCTTGGCTTTTGTGCCTCTATTGTGCTACTCAGCTCCAATTCATTATTTATTTATTTTTAGGTTTTTCTTATTCTCTTTATTAACATATTTTCTTGCATTTGGGTCTTTCTTTGACCACATCATGACATGAATTTGATATTCAAACATTGATTTACTGTGAAGATAGCCTTGAAAACATTTTAGGATTTCCCATTCCTATGCAACTCCCTCTGCTTCTATTCAACTATCATTCCATTCTTACACATTGGATCATAGGAAAATTATTTTCCCAGGACTAACTGCAGCTAAGAAGACTATGATACACTCCTGGTTTTCCATAGACATTCCACCACCAAAAGTATGGATAAATCACTTTAGGGATGTTGCTATTTTAGAAAGGTCATTGGCATTGGCTACACAAAGCGTGTAAATCTACTGTGCAGGCCTGGAACACTCTTATCGGTTCTCTGTCTGACATAACATTTTTCCCTGTATATAAGACATTCTCTGCCTGTGTTGTCTATGAAGATTGGTTCATTTCCTATCCTCTTCCTCTCCTCTTTTGGTTTACCAGTATACATAATATGGACGTGTAGGAGCGTGTGCTTATATTTGTTTAAGTGTATTCTTGTGAATATATATGCTATTATTAATATTATTATTATTATTTTATTTTTTTTTTTCTTTACTGGTAAGACAATGGCACTGCTTTTGCAATAGGATGTTCAAATTGTTCAATATCAAAAACAGAAATAAAATACTGATGGCAGTATTGATGGCAGATCGGTTCAAAACAAAAGTTCAGAATATGTCTGTTCACCTGTTAATGCATAAAATTTAAAATCAATTATAAATGTATTGCTTGAGTGATTTAAAAACTATTCCACATCTTCATAGGCAAACTGTTAGCTCTGAAATCATATTGAAGGTTTTGTGCACTTAACGTTCTTTAATAATCACAGACAGCGTCGGCCCAGATGCTCTCCAGTGGACAATAATCTTCTCACTGGGCAGAAGATCAAACGTTTGCTTTGTATTAAACAAAATGCATTAGGTTGCTTGTCATTTTAATTTTCTTAAACATGTTGAAATCAGCTGGAATATCATCTTGTGACTTTTCATTAAGTCATCAACCATCATTTGAAATGTACATATTTAAAGCAGTAAGTGTAATTAATCACAATAATGATATGCATGGATAAGATAAATAAGAATCAAAACACTAAATCACTATGTACCAATAATATTACCTAATATATATACAATCTATAAAGCTAATCAAACATGTTTAGCCTTAGTGGTGTACAGTATATTCTGCAGAGAAGTTGCTTTTTGTGAGACACTGCATGGATGTTCAAGGATTCATAGCCTAAAGACAAACATCATTTGGTGCATATTTTATATCTTTCCCATGTCTTCATGCTGACCTGTTCCTATGTTGTTGTTTTTTTATGACTATTCACTTGTTTTCCATTTAAAATGTTGCAATTACATTGAGACTGACTGATTTTGTGTGCTATTGTATTTAAAACATCTCTTAATTTTTTACACTTGAATTGCAAAATCCCTTGTTTTTAATAGTGCAAGATTTGGTATTTAACATTTATTATTTCACATTTTTCGTAGACTGTAAAAATGTAAAAATGTTAATTCATTACACTACAAAACACAACATGTTAGCAGCTTTGCAAAGCGGTATCATCAAACTGCATGAAGGTATGAAACATTTGTCATGATATCTATAATATTATTTTAAGACATAATCCATGGTTATTTCAATTTTTTCTAGGTATTTGTTATATTTCTATTAAATGATACATCATTAGGACCAGAAGCAGAAGTTGTTTTGTGGTTGTGACCGTAAGTTATCTCCATAAGTCACCACAGGACTACCATCATGTCTTCTAAATTTGTAGGCTTGATTATTTCATATTTTGGATATTAACTGGAAAATGTTTTTTCCTCTGACTTCATCCATGGGCCCATCAACTGTGTCTACCATACAACCCTTTAGTTCAAACTAAAAAGCAATATATAAACTGTTAATGTAAAATGCTGTTTTTCACCCTTCAATACTCCAGACCTCCCTCTCCCCATACACCTCCTCCAGCTCCTCTTCGGGAAGTGTGATGCATTCCAGGGCCAGCCGGGAGACAAAGTCCTCCCAGCATGTCTGGGATCATCTCTCAGGCCTGTTCCTGATAGGACGGGCATGGAAATACTCTCCATAACTCTATAGATTTATTTGCAGTCATTTACAAGAAGCACAGAGATAAGAAATAGAAAAGAAAGTCAAAGAAATCATAATACTAATATATTTTATCTACCATAACTTTCAAACTATTAAGCAAATTCTGTAAGGGGCATCTATTATGCTTTTGACTCAAAGAACCAGCTGAGCTGACCTACAGTCGACCTGACTGACTCAGGCCTTCATAAAAGAGTAAAAAAGAAATCAGAATTAATAAATGAATGTGGTTCTACTTTATTAGCCAAGTTAAGCCAAATATGATGGTAAATTACTTTTATTAAAGCAAACATTGACCAAAGCTGTGAAAAAAAAGGGTGAGGAATGATTAAATGTTTAACCTGGTTAATTTATATTGAGAAAAACAGCAATTGAAAAGTTTTACTGACGTGAAGAAATAAGACTTTGGTGCTGATCTGATCTGCGTACGCAGGAAGAATTAGATTATAGATGTCTTTTTAGCCGAAGACTGACCCTGGTGTTGGAGAAGAGGCTAGAGAATTAGAGGAACCATAGGCAAACCAGGGGAGAAGATGTTAGAGGCAGAGGTGGGGTGCATTTTCAATTGAAAGTTAAGAGAATCCTTGGAGCTGGAGCTTTAAATGCAATGATTG